CAATGTCAGCGCACCCAGGAGTCACTAAAACGACGGCGAAGATCAAAGAACTGTTCTTTTGGCCCAAAATGAGAAAAGATGTGTCGCGTTACTGTAGAAGTTGCACGAACTGTCAGTTGGCCGGAAAGCCAAACCAGACAATTCCTAAGGCCCCTTTGAGTCCGATTCCTGTATTAGAAGAACCTTTTTCTAAAATCGTCATGGACTGTGTAGGTCCCTTGCCTAAAACCAAGGCGGGCAACGAGTACCTACTTACCTTTATGTGTTCAAGTACCCGTTTTCCCGAGGCGATTCCCTTACGGAACATTAAGGCAAAGACTGTAGTCAGAGCCATGACCCGGTTCTTCACTACCTTTGGATTACCTAGAATCGTGCAAACAGATCAAGGCAGCAACTTCACCAGTCACCATTTTCAGGAAGCGCTAGCCAAGCTAGGCGTTACCCACATCACCAGCTCAGCCTACCACCCTCAGTCTCAAGGCGTACTTGAGAGGTTCCACCAAACCCTCAAAACCATGCTAAGGACATTCGCTAATAGTAACACCCAATGGGATGAGTCTGTTCCTTGGATTATTTTCGCCGCGAGGGACTGTGTCCAGGACTCTTTAGGCTACTCGCCTTTTCAACTTGTGTTTGGACATTCTGTCCGTGGCCCCCTGAAGCTGATACACGAACGTTGGACAGGTACCAGTGATCATCCAGTGGAAAACTTCGACGATTTTCACGTTCGACTGAAAGCCGTGTGCGAAATGGCTCACAAGAACTTAAGAAAGGCCCAAGTGAGAATGAAAGGACTGTATGATAAGAGTTCTTGTAAACGAACATTCAATCCAGGCGACAAAGTTCTTGTGTTAGTGCCTAATCTGAACAATGCGTTATCCTTGAGATATTGTGGACCCTTTACTGTGCATTCAAAATTAAGTGATTTGAACTATGTTGTCAATACGCCCGACAGAAGAAAGAAACAGACCGTGTATCATGTTAACTCACTGAAAAAGTATTATGATAATTGTAACAATTTTCATTCCACAGCTAAAATTACTTTACCTGTATGTTCAAATGTTTCTGATGATGTGATACATGATAAATTGAAACCCCCAAAATTGGTAAATTCTTCCTTTTTAGATAATTTGAATGTCCACCTTATGCATTTGTCCACAGAGGAAAGCCATAGATTGTCTCAGTTATTTGAGACATTTCCCTCTATCTTTGGGGATGTCCCCAAAGAAGCGAAGGTTCCACCTCATGATGTAGACGTTGGTGACGCAAAACCCATTAAACAACACCCCTATCGAGTTAACCCGGAAAAAGCTGCTTTGATAAAAGATGAAATTGATTATATGCTTAAGAATGATATCATTGAGCCCAGTTTCAGCAGCTGGAGTTCCCCATGTCTCCTAGTACCGAAAGACGGTGGATCTTTCAGGTTTGTGACCGACTTTAGGAAGGTGAATGCGCTCACCAAAGCTGATTCCTATCCATTACCTCGGATAGAAGACGTTATTGATAAAGTTGGTCAGGCTAAGATAATTTCCAAAATTGATTTACTTTCAGGATACTGGCAAATCCCCTTATCTGACCGTGCAAAAGAAATATCTGCTTTTGTAACCCCTAATGGTTTTTATAGATACAAACGCATGCCCTTTGGTATGCGAAATGCTGGTCAAACTTTCCAGAGGGTCATTAACTCTGTCATTGCTGACATAGACCAATGTGAGGCCTACATAGATGATATAGTTGTATTTTCTAATACTTTTGAAGAACATATTGTTCAGTTGACTAACCTTTTTAGAAAATTGTCTGAAGTTAATTTTACTGTAAACTTACATAAAAGTGATTTCTGTAAAGCTTCAATTACCTATTTGGGTTATCAAGTGGGAACGAACCAAGTTCGGCCCATTGAAGCTAAAGTAGATGCTATTGTAAAGTTGCCACCTCCCAAAAATTGTAAAGAAATCAAAAAGTTCCTTGGGATGGCTGGTTACTATAGGCGGTTCTGTCATAACTTTTCAGCTATTGCTGAACCTCTTACTGCATTATTGAAAAAGGGTGTTGAGTTTGAATGGTCAAATAAATGTCAAGAAGCCTTTTTAACCATTAAGTCATTTTTATCAAATGCTCCTGTTATGGCTGCACCAAATTTTAGCAAGCCCTTTAAACTTGCCATTGATGCTAGCAACTTAGCCATTGGCTCAGTCCTATTTCAAGAAGACAACATGGGAATTGACCATCCCATTGCCTTTTTTTCCAGGAAGTTAAATGAGAACCAAAAGAATTATTCTACTATTGAAAAAGAAGCTTTAGCTTTGGTTTTATCATTACAACATTTTGAAGTCTACGTCTCTTCTTCAACCAATCCAGTCAGAGTGTTTTCTGACCATGATCCCCTGAAATTTACCTCTAAGTTAGGACAGACAAATCAAAGAATATTGAGATGGTGCTTATATTTCCAAAATTTTAATCTGGAAATTTCACACATTAAGGGTAGTGATAATGTTGTGGCTGATTGTTTGTCAAGGATGTAAAATCTTGTTACACACATTGATCATATGACATGCTTTGTGGTTCATTAGGACCATAAACAGGTTTTGTTTGAGTGTCACTCATATGAAAATGAGTGGTGTGAGTTTTGAATTTTTTTCAAAATTCCAATCCTGTTGAATATTTTGTTTATTTTCAGGTAAACCTTAATTAAAGGTGGTTTTTGATTATATGTAATCTTTTATAATAATATGTCTCATATGACTCAATTGATATTGTAGCTAGTAATTGAAATAAAGGTCTTACCCTGGCGGGTTTACCACTTTTAATATCCTCATGGAAATATTGTAATACCCTTTTTTGAGGGATTTTGATGTATAATGACTTTTTGAAGGGTTACTCCCCTTTCACCAATTGTAAAAGTTGGAGTTACTTCCCTTTTATGTTCAGGGATATTTTCATCTGGTATTATGATTTTGATTGCCTACATTTGTAAAATATTTTTGTTATTTCATTGCCAGATTGGTTCCTTATGTATGTTCTTGTGGAACCTATCTGTCACTTCCAAAAAGGGAGGGGATGTGACCTACTTAGGTCGAGTCATTTTTATTTTGACATTGTATAATTCCTTATATGGAATGATGGTGTAACACCTGGGGTTTTTCCACTGACTAATTAAGGTGTTTGGGACATAGAAATTTTCCATTAAGATCTGATTGAATGATTCTGATCAGATGATTATCCCAACCAATGGCTACATGAGTTGAGGATAGCCTCCCCTGTCGCAGAAGTCTTTAATTGCACTGCACACTCGCAACACGAGGCAGTTTTTCTTGACCTGGCAGTCTACGGGGCAGTTTTACCTTGATCAGGCAGCCGTCCATATTGTCCGGCTATAGACTCTGACCATTTGAACGTGAGAGTACTTAAGACCTGTGTGTGCCTTGCTTTCTTAAGTTGATTTAGTCTTCTAGTTTAATATTACTTGTCGTTAAGTAATTTCTGAAGCTACAGCAGTGTTGTGTGGCCTGTGGCTGTTCTTTAGACAGTGTAGAAATCTGTGATAGTGTTTTTTCCTGCATTTTGTAAGTTGGGTTTTTGATATTTTATACATTAAATATTTTATCTAGTTCATCCTTGTGTTCTGCCACAACTGTGTTCGCTGATTAAAAGGTCGTATGTAGATTGGATGAGTGTTAATTACAATAGTATCACTAGCTTCCCTAGACATTGAATTCGCGCCCTAGTGTGTCGTTGTGTTAAGTGTTCATCCACTTAGGCCGTAAGGCATTTGCATATGACCCCGAAAAAAGAATCCGGGGACGTTCTCCTTCTATTTGGCTGATAGATAGGTTAACGTTACAGGTGTGACGTCATTTTAGGGGGGGGGGGGGTGGGTGTCTGGCTTTTAGTGACGACGTGTGACGGAGGAGAGTGGGGGGGGGGGAGGTAAAAATCTTCAAAAAAAGCGTGACGTCATTTATAGATGACCCCTAACGGTTAATGGCGCATAATCATATGTTCTGAAATTCATAATAAGAAAAATTAGACGTCATTGATGGTCGCCTTTTACAATAGTTAGCCTGTATGATAAATATTTTCCAAAGACATTTCCATTAACGAAAAAAAAGCAAATCAGAAACTTAGGGTTGTTGAGTCTGGGGTCCTACACAGTGGGCTACACACATAGATCTACAGGCCTATATAAAAAAAATAATCGTTAGATCAAGTTCTTAATTATAAATATAATACTCAGTGTCGTAGCGAGGTCGGGTGTCACCCGGTGCGGCACTTAATGGTGTCACCCCCCCCCCAGAGGCGTAGCGACCCTTCCCGGGGACAAACTTTGAATTTTTGATTTGCAGCCCCCCCCCCCCCCCCCCCCTCAAACTTTCGATTTCCACCCCCCCCCCTCAAACTTTTGCACCTCTTAAAAGACTATGTAACACTCGAATTTAACACTTAATTAAGTGGATTTATCATTTTTCTCTATATATTTTGCTATTTTTTGCCTTGGTGTCACCCCCTAAATGGTGTCACCCGGTGCAGTCCGCACCCCCGCCCCCCCCCCCCCCCCTCGCTACGCCCCTGATAATACTAGATTCCATTAATGCTATTAATACCTAGACTATACATTAAACTACAGTATTAAACACACCAATATTATTTTATTCATATCAATTTTTGTTTGCATATGTGTATAATAGGACCTATTATTTTAAATTCAGATATGCCTATTGTTAACTGATAATTCACATATAATAGATCTAGGTTCTCGTTAGAATTATAGATCTACGGACGTTTAAAGTTTAAACGAAACAAACATTTACGCAAATTGTAATTAGAGATTTATTTTAGGTTAAAGTAGTTGTTAAAACTATTTCTGTTTATAATACTCACTATGAATTATAATACTATTGAGATACATTTGAAATGTTCTAACTTATTTGTTTTTAACAGTTCATGAATCCGAAATTTTAACATACAATTATACATCTTTTTAATATAGCTCTTCATAAATAAAGATGGTGGATTGACTGCTCATCTAACTAAACAATTACATTTTGGTAGAAATCAATTACGGCCATGGATGATTATAAAGATTAATTTAATGTAATTTGAAAAGTACGTCACATATTTGTTTGTATTGTATAGTACTGACTTAAATTATGGAAGGTATAAAGCTTGGAGTGCGAGAGCAACAATATTATGCTGAATTATTTCAAGCTTGTGATGCTGAAGGAAGTGGAAAAATTACTGGACAAAAAGCATCGGAGCTATTCCTTGCTTCTGGATTAAACCCCGATATTTTAAAACAAGTAGGTTTCTTTTAGACTATAAATTATGTATATTATTAATATGTTCTTATCTCTTATACTTAAAAGTAATAAAGACCTGTAGGTCCTAACTACTTCAATTTAGGCCTATGTTTTATTTTTTGTTAAAATAATTTAAATAAAATTTAAAATAGTAGGCCTAAAAGTAAAGTAGGCCCTATTTTAAACTATTTCAAAGACATTTAGGCCTATTTAAAGTAGAAAATCTAGACTCTAGTTTAAATTTATTAAGTATTTTAATTGGCTATACACAAGAGTTCCTCATTAGTGATGAACCCATGATTTAGGGCCTAAACAAAAAAAAATTAATTGTCATTCACAAGTAGGGTAGTATGTAGACTAAGGGCCAAGGGAGGTAACCGACTTGAAAAAACCTCCCTGTTCCAGCCTGCATGAGTATTTTTCTCTTTTTTCACCTAGTACTCTTATTAATTAAAGATTAAATAATTCAAGTTCCGCTTCCGTCCAGCAACCACATTTTTACAAAGTTTGGATTTTCGGCCATTACCCAGTGCAAAAATTTTTCATTTTTTTTTTGTTTTTAACTTGAATATTTGCTTCAGAAAAATAGGTAAGTTTTCAACCTTTTTTTTTTAATATAAAAGAACCCGCCTGCACCAATATTTAATGAGAATTAAATAGATTAACCATTCTTGTTTCATATTCTAACAAGAAATTAAGAATAAATTTTACAAACCTATCTTAAATTAATTTTTTTTTAAACCTTGGGTATCTCGATTTTTCTGCCTGCCATCATGGCGGCCTCCATTATAATGATTGGTAAAAATTAGCTACAATTCAAAAGCGTATTCTCACAAAATTATAATCGCCTGCGCTCAGATTTTTAAGTAAAAAGTTAGATAAACCACCTATATTGAATATTTTATTAAGGAAATCAATTAGAATTTTGCAAATGTATTTGAAATTAATTTTTTTGTCAAGCCTTGTTGGTAGTCCGCCATATTGCTTTTTTCATTACTATGAATGGCAAAAAACGTGAAAGAGGCACCATTTCTGAAGTCTATAACTTATAAAGTATTTAAGGCTTTGTCAGTAATCATATAAAATAAGCTAGATAAACCACTTGTCTTTATTATTCTATCAAGGACATGCCACTTAATTTTGCAAATGTATTCAAATTTTTTTTTTTTTTCAAGCCTTGTTCAAGCAAATTTAATAGTCCGCCATATTGCTTTTTTCATTACTATGAATGGCAAAAACCGTAAAAAAAAGGCACTAGTTCTCAAATCTGTACTATATAACTATTAATTATTTAAAGCTTTGTCAGTAATTATATAAAATAAGCTAGATAAACCACTTGTGTTTCCAGTTTTATCAAGGTCATATCACTTAATTTTGCAAATGTATTCTTAATTGCCTTTTTTCAACCCTTGTCCAATAACATTTTTGGAACATAGTAGTCTTCTTATCAGGGCTAGGCATTTTGTATGCATTATTAATTAGATTTAAACTAATTTAGAATCTCTTACAATTAGAATAGCCATTAGTTTATCCTGGAATCCACAAGACTTACAGAAAAGAGGAAGACCTGGAGACGTGACCTGAAAGAAGACACTAAGAAGATTGGATACACCTGGGGACATTTGAAAAGACTGTCGCAGGACAGAGATGCCTGGAGAGCTCTTGTCACCTGCCTATGTCTCAGGGCGCAAACCTAACCTTTTTCACCAGTTTGTCTGAACATTTTGGCTCCTCTACTTCTTCAATCAATGGGAGAAAAAGGGGAGTTTTCTTTAGGACAAGGAAGTGCTGACTGCTTTGTTGCTGGGTGGTGTTACGGCCGAACATGAACTGTTTGCTAGGATAGATGCCAGACAGAAGCCTTTTCTGCAGCAAGTCATAGAGGGACAAGACTTGGCTTGTTATCTGTTGGTCTACATGCTGGCTGGTAAGGACTGCTCTTCGAGGGTTTTGATAGGCTACCATCAAGCAAGATCAAGTCTTATCCTTTCATCCTTAGCTACATGTGAGGAAATGAGGACAGTTCAGATTCCTGTACATGCTCTAATTGTGGACCTGGATGTTTGGTAGATGTTGACCTCAGTTTTGGTACATTCATAGTTAGAGGTGATTTTTTTTAATTTCATTTTTTTGTTGTTCCAACACTCAGCTATTAAGTTGTTTTAATCAGCACAGGTAAAACAAAACATTTAGGCCTATATATTTTTCACAAAAATACAAAGTTTGAAAAATTAATTATTTTGATCTGCAAATTATAGCAGTGATTTTCATTAATTATAGCCTAATTAATTATTATTCTTAGCCATTTCAGGGCATATATTTGTAGTTTCAACAGCAGTACTAAATAATTAGAAATAGGGCTGTCTAAAAATACAAGATTTGAAATATTAAAATTTTGATTAAATTTAAATTAGGCCTATGTGCTAAAAAGTCGCAAATTACAGCTGTAATTGCATTTTCTGTATTCTTTCAAGGGCAGTTATTATTGTAACTTTTATTTGTTATAAATTGTGATATGATTTTTTAAAATAAAATTGTTTAAGATTATTTTGCTGTTTTTATTTTTTTTGTTTCCTGGTGTTATCTCCCATTTACAGATTTTCTGTTAAGCCAGCTATTAAAAAACAAAAAAATTAATTTCTCAGCTTCTAATTAAGCTAGCACTATAAATTAGGTATCATTGTGATTCTTAATCCCACCACCAAGTAACTAACAGGTTTATAAGTTATAAAACTCTTTAGTTCTAATCTCATGCTACAACCTAAAGTAGGGTCTTAAAAAAATTGCATGCAATATTTGATTTATTTTTTCATAGACTGATAAGCCGAATAGTTCTACAACCTCCTATTCATTTTTGCACTCCCGGGCTATTTTAAAAGTTCCCAGCCGACTGTGAATAGCCACAATATGACTATTCACTAGTATTCACACAGTCAGCTGTCATTTCATGCTTAATACTGTGAATAATATCTTACAATAATAAAAGCATTTATTGTGACTGGGGAGTGAGGTATAAATTAAGAGAGCAGTGCTATTTTTATTTTGTTATATTTGTTATTAAAAAAATCATTATGGTTAAAGTTTAGTTTAGCTTTTAGGCTCATATCAGACATTTAGGCTATGTAGGTCATAGATTATCAATTATGCACTCTAAACCTATAATAGACCAATAGATCTAGTAATTTTTAAATAAATAATACTAATTAAGCATCAGTTTTGTTGGTTGTTCACATTGCTATTCAACTATCAATCACCATTCAAAATTCACAGTATCACATATCAGGTGAAATAGGATGTCATTTTTCATCAGCTATAATTCACAGTTTCCATCACACTTTTGCATTTTTTCTCTTAGCAAAAATCTATGGGACAGGTCTTCTTTTTTTTTTTTTTGCTGATATGCCAACAATATGTCACAAACGAAAAACAAAATTAACAAAAGTAACCTTTCCATGAGTAACTCAAGTAACTGGAAAAAAAATATTTGGTAGTAAGATTAAGAGGCATACATTAAGAGTCATAGCAATAAGGCATCTTATGGGTTTGAACCCGCACCTTCCGGCACAACAGCCACTCCCCATGTCCGCTCGACCACACATCTTCAAGCATAATAAGGTATTTTTAACATTAAATCTAGCAAAAACGGCTATTCACAGTCGTTAATAGCCCTGATACGGCTATTCACAGTCGACTGTGAATAGACACTTGGAAACTATAACTTACACTACCTTGTACAAGCTAAAAAAAAAAACAATTTTCCTCCAATGTTTATGTTATTAAAATTGTAAAAATGAGCAATTTTTTGTGTTTAAAAATATTACAAAATTATCATAAAGCACACTGATTCTGATAAGACACATTTGTAACTAGACTAATTCTATAGAAGAAAGTTGTATGACATTTAAAGTAACAAGAAATATAAATATAATAAGATATGCCTATATTTTTGGAATAGAGTAGGCCTGTAGGATTGCACATAGATTACATAACATATTTTAAGAAGTTACATCATCACAAATATACTATTGTTATAGCATCCTTCTCTTTGTATTAAAACTGTATTAGTTATATTTTCTTTAAGTAGGCTATTCACTTAAGCTAACTGACAATGAGCAAAAGAGATTTTAAAATAAATACATGGTATATTTTGAGCAAAAGGTGCGAATTACATAACCTGACCTTTATAGTTTTGTAATAATGTTCGACCGTTTTAAATATCACCATTAGCTTCAGCATATACAAATGTCATATTATAGATTAAAACAGTGTTTAATTTAAAGAATGACTTCTTATCACACGGATTATCAGATGTTCTAAAAAAATTGAAGGGGGGGGTATTACATAATCCATGAAATAAGTCTGTTATGTAATCAAAAGACACTTTTTAAAATAGCATCATTGCATTTGGCATACAAAAATCTACAAAATATCATAAAATGATATAAATTGGTGAAGGCTGCTTGCTTTTATACCACTTTTAGTGAAAAACTCTTCAAAATTTGGTCCATACCCTCCCAGTATTTTTCCTCTTTCAGGGTCTACCCCGGTTGTCTGAAAAAACTGCTGTTTTTTAATGACAAAAAAAATTCATAACTTTTTTGTTTATGGTCAGATTTTGAAAATTTAAACTGATCTGTAATCAGATTGATAGCCCCTATCCAAATATGTAGCTGTTATAATGTTTTACTGAAATTAAATTTTTGCATTGGCTTAGCTATCGAAAGTTCTATTATTTTTAATGACACCAACTTTTAGCCTTTATTCTCCAAAGCAAATTTTAAAATGCTTTTCTGGCATATTTAGCCCTGCCACCTATAGCTTGTTTTTATAATGTAAAAACTCGCTATTTTGCTTGCGGTAAATATTTTTAAAGTAATTTTAAGAAGGTCATTGGAACTAAGACAAAAATCGTCGGTAGTCATGCATCCAGCCTGTATGCAATATTGTTGTTAGCAACTAGCCACGCCTCCAGGGTAGAGAGCAATACTACTTGTAGGATTAGACTTACTTATTACTTAGTCCTGAGTTTCAGGTCCAACATTATTAATTTACGTATTCCTTAATAATGCCATTCCTTTACTCTAGTTTAGGTTTGTTGAGGAAAGTAGGACCTCTGCCAAAGTTCTCCACTCTTTACGGTCTCCTGCCACTCTTTTAGTTTTTCCACCAGCCTTTGTTCTGTTAACTATTATTATTTCAGTCTTACCCAGCACGGTTCTTCACCATGTTTTCTTGGGTTATCTTCTGTGTTTTTTGCCATGTGGGCTCCACTCTAAAATTTGTCTGGCCTTATTGTTGGTACATCTTCTATTTATTGTAGTTATTAATATTTAGACCTATGACATTATTTTTTATATACTATGTTTAACAAAATTTGCCAAGCTAGAAAAATGTTGAATTACTACTATTAATATGTTGTCTCACAAAATTCTATATACAATTAACCTATTCTACTGCTATTTACCTCCATCTCTTAATACAAAAAATAATACCAAATGAACATGCTATTGTAATATTCAAACTCATTCATTTGGTAGCTGAAATTTTAACAAACATTTATCATTTCATAAATCAATGGTAGGATATCATGGTGAAAAGTTGAAATTGCAAACATCCTAATATAAAAGCCCATGTGCGCAATTCTGTCTCTGTCCGCAAAATATTTTCACAGGCTTTTTTATATCTGTACCTTCAGCAATATATGGAGAACTTGATACAGACTTTTGTTGAAAATAATATGCTGGGTGTTTTAAATGTATAAACTAAATTTTATTGAAAAAAGGAAAATAAAAATAAAGACCAATTCTAATGTAGAAACACAATTTTAATTATGCAACAGGAAAAGTGTTTATTGTTTTGACAAGAATGCAAAAATCAATGACGTCACGTGTCACCTTTAAATTACAGAAAGAACACAAAACAAATAGTCTAATTTGGTCTGATCCTTGTTCTGATAACAACGACACCAAATTTTAGATCTGTATAGCCAGAGGCGTATCCAGGTTTTCGTTGTAGGGGGAGCGAAAAGAGCAAAAAAAGGCGCCGAATTTTTAACACGTTCTATATACGTGATATATATATATATATATATATATATATATATATATATATATATATATATATATATATATATATATATATATAGCTGTATGTTATCACTTCGCTATGATGTAAAATATATTGAAAGTAGCACTTAAAAGAAATAAGAAAAAACACACAATGTAGGCCGACAAAACAAAAATTGTACCAATCTAAACTAATATATATATATATATATATATATATATATATATATATACATACACACACTACAACCAAAATCAATGAACGTAACACAATCTGTTTTGTAATTCTTGTAAAAAAAATTTCTTAAATAATAATTCCTGGGAAATTATTTAAGACAAGTGAAATAGGGGAAATAATCAGTCTCTTAATATAAATATGTATATATATATACACATTTAATTATAAAAGTCAAAACAAATAAATAATTACTTAAGAATATAATGAAATTGTTTAACACTATTCGTGTTTACAAAATGTTTTTGTCTATAATCAGAATTTAATATATCATCATCATAAATGCTAAAGTATTACAGCATAATGAAAGTTTTTAAAATCAGAGTTGGTATAAAACCATGCTATTCTTTTTAATAGAAAAGTACTCGGAATAACAGTCTACATTTAACTAAGTATTGGTCTTTTAGTTCAGATCAAATATTTTTAATTAACTACTGATTCTTTGTGTTCTTTAAAGATTATTTTTTAACATAGTGATAGGTATGGGTTAGATCACTGTATTGCTCACACCTTTTTACTGGTATTTGCAAAAACAATATTCACAGAGTTTTACGTTTAAAAAGTTAATTTTCTAGCGGCATGGTACTTTGGTACATCATTACGCGTTTTTCTACATATACTTAACAGATCAGTTCGGGGTGGGTTGTGTGAGGGGGGGGGGGGGGGGGTGGGGGTGGGTTCAACTTCATTCACCACTGTTCGGTCACTTTAGGTCAATTATCCAACCCAGTGTGACATTAATGTCGCTCTACACAATTGTGGTGGTGAGGTGTGTGGGGGGGGGGGGGTGGGAGATAACCAACTCACAGTGAACATAGCGTCAGTTTTTAGATGACTGTTCTTAACATACCTATATATTACACAAATATATATTACACAAATATACATTACAGAAATAGATTTGAATAAGTAGCAGTGGTATTATGGCAATATTTTTTTTTACAAAGGGCTCCAGGGGGGAGGAGGGTTGTAACTGTTTCATATAATTTGTAATCGTAATCACTATCGCCCGAACTGTAAGAATAACATTTTCTAATTCAATTATTCGTAAGCAAATACATTATACAGTTGCCTTAAATTTAACACCCCTCTTTCCAAGTGGTACTACCCGTAGAGGTTTTTTAAACATTGCAATGCATCGTAATGGTTATTTTTAGAATGGCAAACTGATACAGCTGTTAATACGTGTTTTAAACGTAGACACTACTAGACTAGTACAATAATGCTTAATTGCTGCATGAAAAGAAATCGTGTGATTTACATAGATGTGCCGACCAAAAATATTTTTTTAACAAATATCATTGTTTAAAACTTTGAGTTTAAAAAGTTTCCAAAAAGGCGCCACTTTGATGAAAATGGCCAGAGGGGGAGCGGCCGCTCCCCCTGCTCCCCCCCTGCGTACGCTACTGTGTATAGCTCAAGGTTCCAATTCAGTCAGACACAGTGACCTGTCTGTTAAGTTTTCTCACAAGGAAATACAGCATTACGTCATGGCTAGTTTTATTCTAGAACCACATCCAGTTGTAAAGTGAAAGGTGATAAAAACTGATATGGCTATGTTGGGTGACATTTTAATTTAAAATGACGGACAAATTTTGGTGTTGTTACTCCCATAGACAAAGTAGATTCAAAGAAATATGTTGCATTTTTAAAAAGCTTAACAGTAATGTCCTGCTTTTAAAAAGTTTGAATAAGTCAATTTGGGTAGAACAGCAGGTAACTTATTAATAATTTTTTCCAGTGTCTTTTTGATAAGCTCAGCAAGAGGGGGCTTTGTGATGTTGAAATAATATTAGAGCTTTTAGCTTGGGTGAATGCTGATGTTAGGTTGTGATACTATTGGACATAAACTAGAAGTTCAATAATTTTGTAGTTCACTCAAGTTTTTTTCCCCCACGTTTTCTTTAACTTGCTTTCGCGTCTGTTTGGTTCTCCAATCAAATCTTGCGATCGAAATTTCTGGCACTTCCCAGTTAGCTAGCGCGCTGAAATTTTCAGGGAAGCTTTGTTTTGGATGACATTAGAATATTCAATTGTTATTATTACTAAATTGATCCATGGAAACATTTTATTGAGCATTTTAGACCGCTATATAATCTATATATATAATTCTCCTCTGCGAGCCATTAGAAAACAAGCTGCAAGCGCCTCCTTACAGTCCCCTCTCTTTCTCTCTATCACTATCACTAACACCCTACCCCACCCCTCACATGGTCTGCTGAACTGTGGTCACGTTAATGTTTACAAACCGTACAGCCAGGTTTAGTGACGGCTATTAGGGGCAGATAATTTAGTTTGAACCGACTTTAAACTTACAGGAGGTAACTAAGAGGAGGCTGCTTTCACGGGGGGGGGGGGTAGGGTCGGGGTTAGGGGAAAGGAGGGGGGTTAGTGTTTTAAAGCAAATATTTTCAGTGGCAGCATTGGTACTGTCGAATTCACAAATTATGAATTACTGAAAAGTAGAAAATAAATCAACTAAATAGCGGCGTATGATACGCCGCGGGTCAGCTCGTTGTAGTAAAAACGTGGGGAAAAAGGGACATAACCCAGTAACTGTAATTTGTGTACAAACAACCGTAACAACTGGTGGCCAGTATGGGGGAGACGATATGGTCGAGTGGTTGGGCACACGATTGCTATCCCACTCGACACGGGTTCAAATCTATGTGTTCTAGTCAGTAACGTATTCACACGTGTTTTTTACGAGTTGTCTTTTTACGAGTTGTCTTCGTTACCCAAAAAAAAGTGAAAAGATAAAATCAATAGCAAGATTTTAATGCAAACAAACAGACAAAGACTAAAAAGTAGAAAATAATAATCATTAAAAAAGTTTTAAAAAACCCACGTTTTCTGATTGAACTAAAAAGTAGAAAATAAATGCTATACATCACAATAATGCAAGCGATCACTCTACTATAAGCGATCAAAAACGTGGGGCGCCGTGATTTTCTTACAGTTTCTAATACTGTTGACTCTCTACAAGCTCCCTAATAAAAGTCAGTAGTATTATCTAATCAATAGTAATATAACTTTTACTTCGGCGCCCCACGTTTTTCATCGCTTATAGTAGAGTGATCGCTTGCATTATTGTGCTGTATAGCATTTATTTTCTACTTTTTAGTTCAATCAGAAAACGTGGGTTTTTAAAAACTTTTTTAATGATTATTATTTACTTTTTAGAACGGAAATAAATACGAATTTCAAGCAATGCCATCTTTGCTTTTTAAAAAAAATAATACTTTAAATAATAATGAGATTACAAAACAGCCCATCTTGACAATGACAGCATAGAATGCATGTTAAAAACCAATGTACCTAATATATTGTTGGCAAAAACATGTAATCTCAAGTGTATTTTAGAATAGACTTAGCATTTATTCCTGAGTGCTGTTTGTTGTGACTGTTCATTTAATGCTATGATACTCATGATAGTTATCAAAGTCTATTTGTACAACTTTAAGTTACCAAAGCTTAGAAAATCGAAGTGAAAATAAACAACTTTTTAACCCCCTTTTCATTTCTTTTGTCTTCTGCAAATGTAGATTACAGAATTATGTGGAGCCAAACGTTTGGGTCACTTTGGTAGAAGCCAGTTTTACATTGCCTTAAAGCTTGTTGCACTTGCACAGTCTGGACAACCAGTAAAGCTAGATGCATTGAATTCTGGTAAGAGTTTTTTGTTGTGCCTCATCACATGACGAGCACTTACTTTAGTTCTCACTTTATGTTGGCTGGGTCCCATTACACATCCGCTGACCCCATGACACAATTCTGATAAAAGGGACAACTTTTGTTCTCATATTTATTGGGTAACCACTGACTCCTATATACAAATTTCAGACACTTTCAAAACCGACAGCCAGAAGTAAAATAAAATATGTATATTAAAAAAATTAAAATCAAAATGTCACATTTGGTTGTAAATTTCAGTATTATTCTGTAAGATTAGTCCACTTAAAACTACACCCCCTACCCTAATTTTCAACATGAATAAAGTCAAAAAAGTTATTAAATCTCAGCTTCAAATTCAAAAACAAAACCTGAATTTCCTTATCAGGGAGTGTTTGTCTTCCTAAAATAACCATTTAAAAAGTGCATTAAAATGAGGTTTGGTTGATTTTAGAAGACATCTTTACCTTAGTGACCATGAAAAAATAGTGGGCTTGACATCTTTTCAATTTTCAGGAGTTACTTAGCTATCAAGATAATTATTATTGTAATAAAAAACAAGTTAATAAAAAGTCTAGTGACAATTTAAGCGCAATTTCCTTATGTTATCCATAACAATTTTAAATCGAGATAAATCATATATTCAGCAAATAAATAATGCAACACAAGTAGTTTTAATAATTCAAAACCAAATAGAAAAAATATTTATTAACGAGATTTTAAAAAATATGCGGACGTGTAGGGGATAATAGAAAATATCAACGGAAATAGTTTTATTTTAACGAGTAGGCCTACACGATGCTCAGTTTAAAATATCATCCTAGGCCTACACGATGCTCAGTTTAAATAATTTTAAAAAATTTTTTGTGACCGAACGAAATGATATTTTTGAAAACTTACTTTGGCAATATTGTTCTAAATTATGGCAGGAATCGATTGGTAAATGTTCCAAGTCGCTAAGTGGTCTGGTTGCCGAGATATGGGGCGAAAACTGCATTTGTTCGAGGTTTTTTTTGCTTTTCCGGGAAATCCAGGAAGGAATTCCGGGAATTTTTTTGGCCTATATTCATCCTCGGAACTTGCTTAACATATTTGTTTTTGGAACCTAGTCCTCGATATTGCTTCGTTGAGGAGGAGATATGGACTTAAAGGCTGCGGACACACATCCATCCAGAAATGACGAGTTAATAATCGCAATCCCAGTATGGAAATTGCGCT